GGTGTGGCCTATCGGGTGAGTGTGGCCCATCTGGTGGGCGTGGCTGCGGTGGTAACGGCAGACTGGGTGGGACTAAAAAGTTCAATCAATCAATTCCAACTTTGCAAGATCTTTTTTTTCCCCGCGAGAAGTTGAAATTGACTGATTGATTGAACCTTTTTTTTTTGTACACGGTGGCGGAGTCCTAAAGCGAAAAGGTTTTATAAAACCCAGCTGAAGGCCTAGGACTGGGGCGACGGCGCGCGTGCCCACAGAGAGGGCTCTGAGTGCCGCCTCTGGCACCCGTGCCATAGGTTCGCCACCACTGTTCTAAAATATTGGCTCGCTTTGATGAGCAACTTAAAATAAATAATATCCATTATATTTTCCATCACTTCACTGTGTGTCATTCTTCAGTTCTTAATAAAATGAGAAAGCTATGTTGTTGTTTTTGTCATCATTTTATATCATCTTCCTTAATGCCATGGATTTTTGACTATCATTTTCTTTACTGGGAGTGCATAGAGTAGAATTGTTCCTTTCTTAAATGTTACAAAAATCAATGCAAGGAAATGAAAGGAGCTGAAGGAAAGAAGATGGAAGCAGACTGTTAATTGAATCTCAGTTCCAATCTTGGAGCAAAGCACAACTCTTTCCAGTTCAGTTAAAGCAGCTCACTTTGGAATTCTTTATTCCAACATTACACATAAGCAAGTAGATTTTAGAATCTGAAAACATAATAGTCTTAATTTGAATTGAATCATTATATGGCCTAACTTTAAGGTTCAGGGTAAAAGAAACCAATTTAGAAAAAAATATATTAAAATCATTATGAAAAATAAAATTAAGAAAAATGTGCCATCTGAAAAAAGTTCTGCTTATTCATGACCACATCATCATTGTTTGAACTACAAACTTTGGCATGGATGGATCTAACCACTCGCCAATATTCTATCGGTTGCCCATTTAAATGTAAATCCTCTGGAGAGTCCAGAATATCTTTAATGTGCTTACATGACACAGATGTTAAAGCCAGAGCATGTGTTAGAATTTTGAAGCTTTTTAAAATGTGAGCCTATAATTTATACTTCAGATTTGTGACTGTGTTTGTTTTCTTCATTTGAGGAACGCTGCATGTTCTCAGGTGAGAAAAATTGGGTCAGGCATTTAACTAATGCAATATTAGATATATCTAATACAGCAAGAACAATTACAGTAATAAAATTACTATTGAATGAAGAATGATTACATTATAAAGTCTAATCTAGGGTAAATTTAATGTAGATTTGCTTAAAGGAAATCCAACAGAGTTACAAATCAACTACTACATTTATTCATTCAAATTTCAGCTGAAGCAACATATCATAAAATAACACTAAGTGTTTGCATAACTATGTTTTGATTAGAGATTGCAAGAAGATTCTAAGATGATGCAAAAATAGCCCTTTGGCATATTTGTGTGTTATTTTCTGTAAGAGTGGAAATAAATAAAAGAATCATTTGTGGAAATTTGATTTGAGTTCTCTGGAGAATATATCATATATAGAGGATTTATATGTGGTCAGTAAATAGTAAAGTGTTTTCAGCTGTAGCTACAAATTCATTTCTTGGAAATCAAATTAAAAAACAGATTATAGAGGCATAATCTTTAGGATATAAGCCAACACAGATTTGAAACACTTAAGGACAGATAGAAAATCAAACATATTTATCTTTGTAATATCAAGCTCCATTTCTACATTATAAAATTAAATTTGACAAACTTGCAATAAAATGTATTTTTACATGTGATGTCTTGATTGACTTGAATAACTTAATCGTTTGAATGGGATATAATAAATAAAAATAATAAAAAGAAAACAAAAATTCAAAGGACAGACTCAATGGACCACTGGGTCTTTTTCTGCCATCGGTTTTCTGTGTTTCTATATTAAGAGTTCATTTGTTAGTAAATTCAAACCATCTTGAATGAAAACATTTTAGAGGACCAAATGAAGTTTCTCAGCCAAGCAAATGGAATGACCTGTTTTCCTTCTTTTTGTGCAGAGAGGTGGAAACACCATTTTCCATGTTGAATTAAGAAGATGACAAAAAAATGGCACTGCATAATGATATTTTTATTTATGTAAGAAATGTCAAAATGGCAATTCAATAAATGCAACTAAATTAAACATGCCCTTATATAATAATAGAAATAATAATAATATATAATAATATTCACACTGGTGAATATTTTTCAAGCTTCCGAAAAACTAGGAGAACATAGGACATACTTGCTGTGGCAAGCTACTACAGAGAATACCTTCTTTTGAGCACACACCCCCCCCATTTTATTTCTTGGAAGGTAGACTGAGCAGGATAGTGAAATTTGCTTGTGATGTGAATTTTAAATCTTGAATTATACACGGAAGCCAATTCAGGGCCTTCAGCAGAAATATTATATTACATAATGAGGCTTCTCAGCAAGCATATGGGCTGCTGCATTTTGCATCAACTGAGTTTCCAGGTGCTCTGCATAGTCAGCTCCACATAAAGCAAATTACTGTAATCCAGCTGGAGGGAACAAGCCTGTGAGTGACCATATTCAGTGCCTCATTTTGCACTAGTGAAGCCAGGTGAAGTCATTCTTGACCCTGGTCTCCCATCTTCTTTTTAAGCAGGAGAATTCAGAAGTACTTCCAAATTGCCAGCCTATTCTCCATTATTACATTAAGATGGTACAACCCCAGAGTCAACAGCCTTCTAAAGAAATGGTCATTCTGTCTTGTATGGTTGAGTCTGAATCTGTTTCTTTGTTAATGAGACATATATAGTCACCCATCTTAAATAACAAACACAAAATAAACAATGAAATGAGCTCCCCTTCTCAAAATCCTTCCAGCTCTTGTCACTCTAAAACAACCATTCCCCAGTACATCAACGGTCACAATCATTAGACACCAGTCCAAGCCTATCCTACTATTTCGGGGAGAAACCAGATTTTTAAGACTAAAAGGGTAGGGTGTTTGCACAGTGAGAACTTTTACTGAGAAGGGACATGTCCTAGGTTCCACTAGATAATATTTTAGGGAAAGGATCTGGAGCATGTCCACCTTAACTGCAAATGGGCAAATATTGTCAGGGAGAGACAGTCTTGCAGACAACCTCTCCCTGGAAAGAAAATGGAAGCCAGTGCAGCTCATGCGGCAGTGATATTTTGTGGGCAAGCCAAAAGACATGAGAAATTGTGTGCGCCACCACATTTTGTTCCAGTTGTAACTTCTGAGTGATCTTTAACAAAGCTCCAAATATATTCCACAATTGCACACAGCTCTGTACAGGAGAGAGCTACCCATTGAGAATCAGAGACTACATCTCACCAGATCCAAAAGGGCTAAAAATCCAAAGCCAGCCTGTAGCAGGAGTAGCAGAACCAGGGTGCAGAATCAAAAGAGGCAGCAGCGTAGAATCCCTATGTAGCCACAAGTGGACTAAATCCAACCACCTTGAATTTCATTGACTCTTATCTAAATCCAAATAGGGGCTAACTGTTAATTTAAAATATTCCTATGCATAGGTTTTAGCAATAAATCAGTTTAATTGGACTTTCATATGTGGACGGGTCTTTCACATCTATCACGTTTGTCTTATTAAGGCTGAGTGACAGCTGATTCTTCCCCATCCAGGCCTTTATAGACTCCAGGCATTGAATCAGTACCTGAACAACATCACCATCCCAGCCAGGAGTGAAAATATACAATTATTGGGTACTATCAGCATGCTGATGCACTCTGTTGCCAAATGACCTCACCAGGAGGATTTATATAGATACTAAAAGAGAAGCAGTGAGAGACCCAAACTACTTAGAAGGGGCCTAGGATCAGGCCTTCTGTCCACCACTATGGAAGAAGAAACAGAATCACTGTAAAAGAGTTCTCCCAACTCCCTGAAGCCAGTCCAAAAAGTTAATGGTATCGAAGACTGCCAAGAGATCTGAGAGGTTGAGGATGGTTGATCATCCTGATCCTGAATACTCCAGTAGTCAATCACAAATGTAACTGATACTCTCTCAGTGCTGTAACTCATTGAACCCGAGTAAAAAGTATAATAGACTTCATTCCAAGTTGCAACCAAGGCCTTAACTGAACCATGCACCATGCTTCAGGGGGAAAATCCAAGTTCCCTTTGAAACCACATTGGGTTCATCAGCTGCCTGGGATAGGCAAAATGAATAGATATTTTTCACCATCCAGACCTGGTCAGAACATCTAGTGATTCTCTTATTTGGCCCAGGATATTTAAAGATGGATATCATCATGTTGATATGCATCACCCTAGAAAGAGAAGTTTTTTTTTTCTTAAAAGGTACATTTAACTTAGAGATCAAGACACAATTATATGTAAGCCTAAAGTGGGTTGGTTACAACCTCTCTTTATAGATTTAAGCAAATTATTATTATCATTTAATTGGTGTCATTATAAGTACAGTTAATTAGTAGCAACAGCATAGGATACTATCAATTCAATTGATAGGGTTAGCCATTTAATACATATAAAAATATATAACAAGTGGATATATTGAGATCACACTTCACTTGCACAATGAAGTCTTTCGTTTAAATAAAGGGAATCGGGCTGCACAAGCAAGAGATGAGCTCATGAAGCTTCATTTATGCAAGCAGGGGATCTAGGTTGCATATGCAAAATCGTCCCCCCCCCCCGTCGCCACTTGCTGCTGCCTCCAATGCCGGTCTGTAGAGCTAGAAAGGTTGGGGACCGCTGCTATAAAGAACTATGGGCAGTAGCTATTGCTCTATTGCTACAGTACTTTGGATTGAAAGTTCTGAGTCTTTCCTATTCCACACTTGGCTTCTAGTAAATTATTAACCATAAATTATTAACCCACACAAGTTTCCTTCTTTTTCTTTGTGCATTTTCATTTCCATGTGTTGTGCATATATACAAAATAGTTGTAAAGGTTATAAAACCAAATTATTATCCAAAAGCTGTTTTATTAAATTGTTTTTATATTTATCCAGCAGGTTTTCAGAGTACAGACTCCTTTACACGAAGGCATTTTCCACATGCTGCCCACAGAATGGATTATATGGACTTTGAGGACGATAGCCGGGGTTGGCGATTTGACATGGACATGGTGATAATCTACATTTATGCCATCAACTGGGTCTTGGGATTTATCGTGTTTTGTTTTCTTTGCTATTTTTTCTTTCCTTTTTAAGGATTTCTGTTCCCTATTTTGTATGTGAGTGGTAAAACAAAATATAGACAATTCTGGATTAAAAAATGCAGATGATGTACAATCTTAGGTCTCCTGTATAACAATGATAAAGCTGCACAACAATAATTCATTTTGTTTTTTGGATTTTCTAAGTTTTATTATATTTTGAAATGAAAAAACATTTGCATATTAACAATGTTAGATTGCTTTTTCTAATACCTGTTAAGATGGCCTGGTGCTTTGAGTCTGTATTTGCAATCTGTACATAAACGTGGGTATCTTCATGAATGAGTATTCATATAGCAGTGAATCTTTACTGACTACCTTCAACTTCTACCTGGTATGTATAAAATACATATACAAACTATTACCTCACACTTAATGGTTTCTGTAGAGATAGTTCACATATTAAATGCTTACATTCAGTTGAAATATTTTTTCTCTTCAGCTTTGGAATTCAGTGTGATGTTTTTATATCCAGTACTTATTGCATATAATTGTCATGTTGAGTCTCAGCTTTCCACCTCTTGAAATCATTTTAGGAGTTTCATGAGAGATTTTTTGTAGTAAAATGTATTATGTACTTTAAGATATATGGGATATGACTTGGGAGAAATTTGTTAGAGAAATGTATACAGTGCCTATGGTGGTCAGTATTTCAGCAGAGACAATTTAGATATCTTTTTATTTGTGGATGTCTGTGAAATTCGTCAAAAGACTCATTGGTTTGCCTTACTGATCAACAGTGTTTATGCTAAGAGCTGATATTAAATAAACAAAAATCAGTTTTTCAATTTTCTGCCTATGTATATAGAATCAAGAATAATTGATTCCTGTACAAAGGGGAAGGAAGGAAGGAAGGAAGGAAGGAAGGAAGGAAGGAAGGAAGGAAGGAGCACTTTATTCTAATTTTATCTAGTGCAGAGATGAAGACCTACAGCTTTAAGTCTGTATATTTTACTGTTTCTAATGTTTTGTGATCATCAACCCACTGTCCCCAAATGTGGGAAGATGAGAGGAAAAGAGAAGAGAGAGAAAAGTGATGGTCAGAAAGAGAAAGTCAGAAGCACCTCTGATCCATGTTGAAAACGTCTGATTCCTGACTCTTACATGATTGTCCTATAAATTCTGTTTGTAAGAAACCTTGAACATCTGACATCTTGGCTAACAACCTTGTCCTGGCTCTTGGAACTCTGCCTTGGATTTGGACTATTCTTCTGCGTGTGCCTATTGAAAACTAACTCTTCAAGTAAGCTTTTGTTTTGTTACATTCTTTGTTTGATGTTTATCTCTTGAAGTAAAATTGTTAATCTCCATAGAAATCAAGTTTAAGTGTGTGTGTTTGAAATGTAAAGCAAGGCGCAAGATTACAGTCTGATTCAAAAGTTGAAACCAGAAGTTAGTGAAAATCAGTGGGAGTCTGCTTTGCCTGCATTTCTGGGGAAAACCTGAGTTTAGGGTTATGGAACAGATTTTCTCCAATAGTCATCAACTTCTTCACTTCTGGAACAGTTTCCATCCCCCAAAACGCTACAGAGTGATACCATTTCCAACTGCCTTGAGTAAAATATGAAGTTTAATTAATTAATGTATAATTATGCAGGGTATTTTATTTTTAAAAAATCTTTAGAAGATTAAAGTAAATTGTGGAAATACTCTTAATAGTTCTGAATATCCTGAATTGGCTCTAGGAGTTGGAGATGACAAGTGTCAGCCTTGAAAGTATTAATAATTGAAAATTGTACCTGCAGTTGATTATATGTACATGTTGGGATCACATTCTTGATTGCTGTTCTTCATATATAAGTAACAATTCTCTAAAATTCCTGGCCTAATTTATTTTCAAAGATACAGTGTAATCTTTCCATCTGAATAGTCATGATTTTAAGTAAATGAAGTTTATCTATGAATTCACATCTCTAAAATACTTGTTTATAGACTCCAATAAATACAGTGACTTTCTCAAATGTCTGAATCCAGAGGATTGGATATATACTGTAATCATAATCAGTATAAAAAGTTCTTAAATTACAATGGCAAGAATTGACTTTTGGATTCAGGTGTATGTTACTGAACAATTGGGAATATTACTTTAAATTTGAGGAAAGCCAGAAATTTTAGTAGTAGAAATGGGAATAGTATTGATATATTTTTAACTCTGTGGGTTTTTTTGTAAATACAATTCTGAAATATTTAGGCTTAAGTCTGTTTGTTAAGTAAACTATCATGAATATGCTGTTGATATACTAGTGAGCCTTCTGAGACTTGGTTTAATTTTTGGAATAATTTTTATCTTGGTTGTATATTTTTATCTATAATGTTATGGTGCTCATAGTAACTTTTAAATTTTAATCCTCATTAAGAGTGTTATTGTATGTTTGGAGCAATTAAACTAAAACATTTTTGTAAACATATAGTTTTAACTTTCATTTTTTATGCATAGAGAACTAAGAAGGAGGTGCTTTTCATATAAAATAAAAAGATTTTACTGATATGCAAGCTCTACGTGAAAAATTAAGGAGTTCAACAAATTTAATTGTAAATTTCCCATTGCATATCTGCTTTGCAGCACTAATCCAATAACATCAATACATAGCAATGATTACAGTGCAATACTCTTTAACATTTTTTTTCTGTTCAACCATGTCTGATTCTCAGAGACTGCCAATGCATCTATAAGTGTGTAGGGATGTGTGTATGTTTGTGTGTATGTCCATGCTTTCATTAAGACTGTATATGAGAGTTACAGTTCGTACTGTGTCCTGGTGATGGTTGGCTAGAATTTTGAGCTGCATCCAATGTTGATCTTCCATTATTAGATTATAATTATTGAACAAACATAATTTTTAAACAAGTTCTCATCACATATGTACAAACTCACATGTGCATAAATGTATGGCTAATAGTGAAACAGTTGAACAGTTAATATAATAAAAAATAAAATGGCATGTATGAAGTAACACAATATACACTGTTGTTTTTTCGCAATTTAGGAAATGACAATTTTTGATTCCCAAGTGGGGCTTATCTTCTCAGATCTTGTATTCAGACTTACAAACAATGGAATATCATTAGCTTGGCAAGCCTTACAGTGGCAAACATTGAGAAATTATTAATTCAAGCTAAAACAGAAAGGCGATTATTCACTTTATGAAGAGAAAATAGTTTGCTGGGATACTGGCCCTCTAGCATGTGAAAACTAACTCATACTTTTCAATATGCTAACCTAAAAATACAAATATTTATAAAAAGGAGAAATTACCTAAATATCCAAATATGATGTGGAAAATGTTACTACAGAAACATCAGATTTGAAAAGTAGACCCGGAAACACCTGAATGCTTGTGTAAATATAGCATAATGGCAGAACTGATCAAATCAGAGAATACAGATTAACTAGATGAAAAGAAGAACAAATGTTAACAAATTTTAACTAGGTGTAATATGTTAGCTTTTTATCATTTGTCAGCCGCCCTGAGTCCGAAAGGAGAAGGGCGGGATATAAATACAATTAATAAATAAATAAATAAATGTAGAAGATTCATATCTGGCTTGTTCAAAGGCAGTCATAAAGAGTTGTATGATCAGATAATGCTTTCATATGTTAGAAGGTTTTTTTGGGGGGGAACATTATAAAGTCAAATATATCAAATATATAAAGCTGGCAAGCATAATTAAGATAATTGTTTCCTGAGAAAACCAACAAGCTAGTTTCTGGACAATAATCTGATCATTATGAGAAAGGATTGAAGATACTCACAGCACTTTTATGCAGTTTTTGGAAGAGGTTTGTCATTGCCTTCTTTTTAAGGTGGACAGACAACAACTGATCGAATGACACCCAGATAACTTCATGCCTAAAATGGGATTAAAACTCCTAGTTTCTTGGTTTCTAATCTGTGCCTTAACCATTTCATCAACCTAGCTTTATTAGAAATAAATTAAAAATAGTATTGCTGACAATGTATGATGTATAGTTGAACTGATACTCAGCTGAGCACAGCAAGATTGGTATGAATGGATTTTCAGTAATACTGTGTTTAGTTTAGCCAGATTAACCTAGTTTAGTATAGCTAAATTAGATAGGTGTTCCTATCTCGCATGATTTCTATCCCAGATGACAGAAAAAATCTAGAGCTTTTGTATCTCTCTGCTCCTTCATCTAGATTTTTGCAGACTGGAAATTGTAACCATACATATGAAATCCAATGGATGTTTTTGAATGTGTTCATTTTTCAAAGGAGATTTAATCTTTGATGAAAAAAAATAAACATAAAAAAGATCATCGGCAATAATCAGAATATAAATATGCCTTTATAAACCACAGTATCAGAAAACATAGTAATCAGAAAATTAGTAGTCCATAATTTATTAATACGGTAATGATGAAGAACTTCTATAAAACATTTGCTCAGCCCAATGTTAGCTGACACAGTCAATTCAACAAGAAAGAACAATTGTATCACATCGAGCACCTTTTGTATTAGTTTGGAGTGCGTAAATTTTCAAGGCAAAAAAGTAGGGCAAAGCGAGTAAGTCTTAAGAAGATAATATTCAGGGAGACAAAAGAAACATTCAAGTGATTATTTCAAATTCCTTGAACAGTCATCTTGCTATAACTCTAATATTTGTAGACTTTTACCAATATCTTTGAGAATGCTAGTTAGTTATAACTCAAATTTAGAGCTAACCTTGGGTATAGGAAAACTACAAACAAGCTGTTAAGAGGGAAAGGGATGAAAGACCCACAAATAGGAGTTTCAGAAATGTTTATATAGTCCTGAGAATGAGGAGATGCACGAGAAAGAAATTCAAAATAATCCTGTCTTTATTTGCTTGATATAAGACGTAACAAAGAGAAACTTGGAAGATTTTTGTGATGGTTTCTCCTGACCCCTGCTCAAAAGAGGAAGAGACAACTCCAGGGATTTCAGAGGAGGGCATGGGGGAGTCTCAGGAAGATGAGACTCAGGAAGGTCTCTGAGAAGGGAATAAATAGGCCAGAGGAAGAGAAGAGGCCGGAAACCTCAGAGGGGCTGTTGGGAACAACTGAATGAGCACCTATTTGAAGAAGAAAGGGGGGAGATGCAGCTACAGCTGGTCAGTGAGGTAAAATTGCCTCCTCTATCAGATCCCAGGATGCACAGGACTGAAAGGAGGCAGGTGTAATGGAAGTCAGTGAGGTTACTTGTGAGGAGGCAGCCTCACCCTTCCTAATGAGTTACAGTGGCTTACACTTCCAGTTACATTGGAAACAACGGTTCAATTTCCTACTGTGTCTTGGTTCTGGCTTCTATTCCTGTCTCATATTCCTCTCTTGTTTCTTGACTGCGCTCGGACTCTGGATTTGGATATTATGCTTTTGGACTCGTGCCTAGACTTTGGATTTGGTATTTTTGTTGATTGACTTCATGCAGACTTTGCTTTATTGGAACTTTAGGGCTATTTGAAGGCATGTTTAGTGCAAAAGAAGCTGGTGGTATTTAACTAAAGCCCTTCAACTGTTTGTGCGTGTGCATGTGGTCTAGAACAGGACAATTTTCAAGATTCTGACATTCTACAATAAAGAACATAGGCGGAGCATTCCTGCGGTGGCTGTTTCTTCACCTGGAGAATCTTAAGAAAAATCCTGACACTTTTCATGATTTGAGCAATCAGTCTTTCAGCCAGAAGAAAACAGCTGGAAATGGAAATACTAACGATGTTTATGTGGAAAGAGTTGTAGTGAAAATTCATTTTGCATTTTGACAAAAGCTTCAGATCCTGCAGATACCTGT